CACTTACTATGAGTTACATGTGTCTTGTGTCATTAGTACTCTTTTCTATTTGTCCCCCTGCGGATGCCTAACGACTACCTGATCTCCCGTCTGGAGTTTCTCCCAGCTACTCTTTGGCCGTTCTACTGCTGGCTCGCAGGGACTGCTTTGACTAAAGGCTTGCTGCATGGGGCTTCCTCCGGAGCGGGGCCGATTGTTGGCCCAGTTGACTGAGCAATCTAGGTGCAGGTCTTAGTCTTTGAGGGCTGAACTAGCGGCCATTCGCATGTTGTACTTTAAGATACCGTTGGCTCGTTCTACCAGTCTGTTAGATTGCGGGTGATAGGGAATGTGATATTTTGCACATTGATGTTTTGCAGCTCACTCATAGACAAGATAGTTGCGAAAACGTGAACCGTTGTCACTTTGCAGCTCTACAGGAGGTGGGTAGATGGCTAGCAGGTTTTCTAGTGCTGCACAGGTGTCCTCGGCGGAGGCCCGGGCAAACATCATTCCAGTGACTGCTTCTACTGCTACAAACGCATACTGTCGCTTTCTGGGGGTGCGGGGAAGTGGACTTATAAAGTCACATTGCCAAACTTGCTATATTACTTTTTCATCGCGTAACGACAAAGGGGTAGTCGAGGCAGGGGTTAGTCGGGCCTTGACTTCCTGGCAGGTGATGCAGGAGTTGACTAATTCCCGCGCTTCTCTTTTAGTCAGGTGAATGCCCCAGGTAGCTGCTAGGTGAGCAGTGCCATCGCGGCCAGGGTGCCCATGCTGTTGATGCAGACATTCTGCGGCTAGCGCTCCAGGGGTCTGCTGGAGGGAGGGGTCAGGCGCCTTCTCTGGGGGTGGCTGAGCTCCTGCTTCAGCAACAAGGGCTTCTGTGCTGCTTTTGGCTAGCTCATCTACTTGCCTGTTCTACTTTGCTTCAGGCTTTTCAGCTTTTTTGCTCTTATGTGCTGCACTAATGTGTCATATATGTAGAGGAAGGCCTCCCTGTGCTATTGCCTACAAAGCCTCTCAGTCATCATAGCTCTAAATATTTTTGCTTCATCATTTGAAGTTTTCTTTTTCCTACAGGGGTAGCTACTTGGTGCAACTCTCTACTACTGTCTACGAATCGCAGTAGATATAAATGGGTTTTGTATGGTTTGACCTTAGTAACAGTTCATAGTTGGCCACTTCGACTACAGCAGCCAGTTCAGCATACTGCGCACTTTGGCCGTTTCTCTCTGTTGTAAGCTGCTTACTATCTCGAATCTGTATGGAAGCACTCTTCTAGGTGCGACTTTTGGCTGAGCCATCAGTAAACTAGACTTCTATGTTTTCTGATGTTTCTATGTCGGGAGAGAAGGGAGGTGCTTCCTTGACAGGAGATGGCTCATCAGAGCTGGTTGCATCTGGGTACATGTTGACTGTGCTTTCTGTGACTTTTTCTACTAGTGCTGGATGTCCCTTTGGGGTTACCTGCTGTGCCTGACTTAAAATATAATAGATCTATTTCTGCACTGTTGTTTCTTGGGCCCTCCCTTCGGGTGGGAGGTGTCGGTCAGACAATGCTATTCTCGGGATGGGCACTGGAGTGGTTATGACAGTGGGTAACTCCTGTCTCAGGGCCTCTGTGGCTTCTAAAGCTGTGGCTGCTGCACACAGCATTTGTTCTAGCAGGGTGTATCGGGCTTCAGCCCCCTTCTAGCCTCGGCTCCAAAACCCAAGGGGCTTTCCCTCTGCCTTAGGTGTATCTCTCTGCCATAAGCTCTAATGGAGCCCCCCGTTGGACACATTTACATGGAGCCAGAGCTCTCTTTCTGGGCGTTGTGCTGCTAGGGAGGCGTGGATGGTTACCGCCTCTTCGAGGGCCCACATGGCATGTTGGTGCTCAGGGCCCCATTCTCACTGTGCCTTTTTCTTGCACAAATTATACAAAGGCTGGGCCAACACACTAAACTCAGGGACATGCAAGTGCCAGAAGTTAAGCGCTCCCAGCTGGGCTTGCAGTTCTTTTACATTTTGGGGGCAGGAGTATCTACCAGGCTCTGCAGCTCTTTAGCCCGTGTGGTGGGTCCACCTTGTTGCTACTGAATTCTCAGGAATTCACACTGGGGCCTAACTTCTTGTATCTTTTTGCTGGACAGCGTAAATCCAAATGCCTGCACCTTTTCTTTTAGGAACTCAAAAGCACAAATGGTTAATTCCCAGTCTTGGCTTCTTACCATGACATCATCAACATACTACCAGACATGCACCTTCGGGTGGCTCAGTTGGACTTCATGGACTACTGCAGCTAGCACTCTATGGGCTAAAGTGGGGCTGTGCACTCAACCCTGGGGTAGGACTCTGTAGGTGTACTGCTGTCTTAGCTATGTGAAGGTAAACAAAGGCCAGTTATCTTCATGGATGGGAATAGCAAAGAACATGTCTTTAATGTCTACGGATCCCATCCACTGGGGTCCATAACACTTAATGTTTTCTGTTAATGCAGGCATGGATGGGACCGCGGCTGTCAGATGGTTGGTATTGGCATTTAAAGCTCTAAAGTCAATAGTCAATCACTAATCTCTATTTGGTTTACGTACCAGCCACACTGGGTTGTTGTACGGAGAATAAGTCTGAATGATGGTTCTATCCTCTAGCTGCCGATTGATGATGTTCTGGATGGGTTGTGTTGCTTCGGGGGGGGGGGGGGGGGGGTGCGGTATTGAAGTTGGTGTAACCCCTTCATGGCCAGCAGGGCGAGCAGGGTCATGGAATATTGGGCTACTGCCGTCATCACATCTTCTTGCTCGATTCTCTGGGCTGTGGCACAGCCAAACTGCCAGGTTTCCTGCTTAAGAATACACTGCTGCCTTTGCAACACATTTAGTCCCAGCAGGTTTGGCCCTCCCCGAAGCATGACAGTAGCTGCTGTTACTACGGAGCTGTTAGGCAAGGTAAATGTGGGCTGGACTAAATGTCTTGGTCATCTGGTGCCTCTAACTCCTACCACCTGGTAGGGGGTTCCCCGTGCCCCTTTCTGTTCTGCACAGTCTAAAACACATAGCTGGGCACCAGTGTCTAGTAGCATGTCAATTGACTTTTTCTTTCTATTTAAACAAATCTTTGTAGGCACTATGATTAAAGGGCTAATATTATTCTGTGTTACTGGTCTCCAATCCTCTACTGCCCCTACGATGGCCCCTTGCACGGGGGGCTGGGTCGGCTGGGACTCCTAGTTCGGGGGGTCGGGGGGTGCCGAGGGTTCTGCCTTCTTCCCCTTCCTGCCCTCACAGTGTTTGATCCACAACACCTGCAGGACTCTGGTAGACAGTTCATCAATTTGCTCTTTACTAAACTCTGCTGCCAATAATGCTCTGTACATTTGCGCCCGCAGGGCTTTAGGTTTTTTATTTCCCACTTTCCCAGACTTGGGGAGCCCTGCCAGGTCGTCTTTCTCGGGGGCCACTGCCATGGCCTTGGCAGTTTTTATTGGCTTGGGAAGCCCCGGCTTCTGCAGGTTGGGGAACCCCCGGCTTCTGCAGGATGGGCAGAAGTTGTACTAGCCTCCAGATCGCATTTCTTACCGGGTGAGTCACTAACTCTTGTTGTGAAGCCAGTAGAGCAGAAGTACATTCTGTTGGCGATCTCTGGCAAAACTTTCTCCACATGGCTTCTGTCACTAATTCTTCATCTAAAGTGTGTCTCCAGTTTCCTGCTTGAATGATTTCTGTCAAAGCTAGCTGGTAAAGACAACGAATAGCTTCTTCTAAGTTAGTCCAAGCTCATGGGGAGGGTTAAACTCTTCTTTTATGTTACCGTAACTCGCAGCAGCCACCTGCATCGCAGCAGAAAACAATGTGATATTCTGGTCCTGCCCAACCCACTGACCCAACTGGATTTCAGGGCGGAGACCTAATTGCGCTGCCTCGGTGTGACTCACAGATACTGCTGAGGCTCCTTCACTATACGTTCAAACTAACCAGTCTATTATCGGCTCCCCTGGTTTAGCTTTATGTTGTTCTTGCAATTCTTTGATTTCTGTGTGAGTAAAGGACTGTGTCTCTGTCAGGAGATTTCCCCCTTGTGGCCCTGCACGGGTCACCACTACTGGGAAGGTTTGGGCTAACTCTCCTCTTAAATTCTCTTGGACTGATGGGGCATGAGGAGGTGGGATCTCACGGGCTACTGGTGCAAGCTTCACATACTCATTATTTCCTGGCTTAGTTTCTGCAATTTCACCATACAGACTTTCGCTCTCTGGGTCATCCCACAGCTCAGTTTTTGGAATTCCGTTATAAAGACACTGCCGAACTTTTTCAAGGGAAGGTTCAACTGGTCGTGCCACTTGCACTTTCTGCTCATGGGAGGCAATTGCCTGCGTGACTAGTATCTTTCCCTCTTGACATTCTAGTATCTCTAGTCAGTCTTAAGCTGTTCTAGCAGCCGCACACGCCACAGAACTACAATCTTTTTCTTCTCTTAATTCACTTTCAAGCTGGGTTACTCTATTCTCTAGGGATCGAATCGTTTGATGGAGCTGAGTGGCTGCCTCTGCCCCCAGTCTTAGGCAGGTTGCTAGCAGCCAAGACAGACATCCCTTCCTCGGTTTGCCTTTCTGCATGGCAGTGAACGCAGCCCACTGACAGGGAACTGTGGCAGGATCACTCCAGGTGGGTTTCAATCTCTCTTTATCCCACCCTGGATTCTTAATACCCGTAACCTCTTCTATTAAAGCAATCATTGGGTCCACCCCTCTGCCCCCTCTACACCATTCTTTCCCTCCGAACTCTCCATCTTAAATCCTGTTCGTGACGCCATTTGTCTTAGGCCAGCTGGGCACTGTGAGTATATCAGTTTAGGTGCAGACTGCCTTAGCACTGCAACTTTATTAGCTACTGGGCTTTTTGGTTTGGGATTGAGGAGGAGATGTTGGGAAGGAAAGCAATGACAAATTTCACTTAGAATGAATTTTACTTATAACAACAAAAGATATAGCTTGCACATATGACAGTTAGTAAAAAGGCTAAGCTAATAAACAGACAACATAACAATACAAGTTAAAATTGACAGTGATAATAAAAACAGATAGAGAGAAATCAACTAAGAGTTCCCACTTGGTTAGTAACTTATTGATAGTCTCTCACTTAGAAACACGTCAAGTTGATTCAGCAAAGTCAGGCATCCCCGATTTACGCTGTCAGAAAGAGAATTGGAGGAGGACTCTCAGTCAGGATCTGGTCTTCGTTCACACAGGGAATAAGAGAGATCCAAGGGAATGGAACAGCAATGACTCTTCTGTTCTGTCCTTCCTGAGGGTTACTTAGCGTGCGTGTTCTTTTATATCCTGTTTATGCTAATTTTTTAGTGTTATAGCTATTCATAATGTTACTCTATAGCTGTTATCCTATGGGGTTAAAAGGTGTTAGAAATCATTACAATAAGTTACTGCCCAAGCTTGGGTTTACTCAATAAGCAAATCACACTACATTACTTTGGGGTCTGAGATTAACATGTTTTTACTTAAGTTCATTTTACTGTCTCTAAGCAGAAAAAGATTATAAAATTAGCTAAGTCTGTGGTTATATCCTTTAGCTCTGCTTTATTAAAGTCATGCTGTTTCAAGATTAATATAAAAGTTATATATAATTCTTGTGGGTTATACTCCAGACAGACAAAAAACTGTTTTATAAGTTCTATTTCAGATATCTTCAAAAAGCATTTTCTTTTGTTATAACTGCTTATTAACCTTTTCTGGTTCTGGCTATCACAGGGTAGGAGGCAGCCCAGCTAGGCTGCTTCTCCAACCCCCATGCTAGATCGTGCCGGGAGTGGGAGGCAGCCCAGCTCAGCGTGATCTAGCATGGGGGTCAGGGAAGCATGGGCTGCCTTGCCACCCCCTACCGGATCTTGTGCTGGGGACGGGAAGTCAGCCCAGCTAGACTGACTTCCCATCCACAGCCTATGGTCGAAATGTTTTGACTTTTGAAATGTTTCAACCAGCCTTGTTTTGTTTCAAGGCTATTTTGAGGGGGTTTGTTTTGTTTTGATTTTGCTGTTTTGACCTCAAAATTGGTTGAAACAGTGTCAAAATGAAACAGCTGATGAAATTTCGCACAGCCCTACTGGGAAGGAACTGTGTGTTTAGATTCCTCCTAGGTGAGAATTTAGCAGGGTCTATGCTGAATAGCAGTGGGGTTTTCCATAGGGTGGCCATTATAGAAGACAGTCTGGTTGTCCTCTATTGATATGAAACCCGACGCCTTTCTGAGGGGAAAAATATCATCCCCAGCTTATAATATTATCCACTCTTTAAGAGAAAAATAGAGGACATAAAGGCTTCAGGTTTTGTATCAATAGAGAACCGAGGAAAGAGCAGCAGAAAACTGAAATGTCTTCTATGATGGCCACCTTAGTTTTCCATGATTTTACCGTGAAGGGTCACTCAGCCCTGGAACATGGTGATCCACATACCATATGGAAAGTTTGGTGCTGGTGGTTTGCTCAGGGACCCAACAGAACCATGCGAAGTGAAGGTGCAGGATAAAGCCTGTTATGTGTTCACCCCTCTTTCCCATCCATAAGGTGCTCAGGAGGCCTGCGCGAAGTGGCTAGTATTCGCTTCGGATTCAGCCAATTCAGGCAACAGTGATTCGATTCAGTGATTTGAATCACTGTCCTGATTCGATTCAGCCGAATCTGATTCAGAGATTCAGCAGCAGTCGAATCTCCTACTCTCCAAGTCAGCCAGGGCAGGCCCATCCCCCGCCCCACCCCAGTTTGCAGCACTTGGGGGGGGGAAAAGCCCTGGTACCGCAGGTGCTGCCGGGCCGGGGGGGGGGGGTGATCCCCGCTGCCCCCCATGCTGCATGGGGAGCTCTGCATGAGCCCTCAAACCCCCTCGTCCCCCCCCCTCCGCTTCTCAAGCCCCCTCACAGGTGCCCTGCAAGGGCCAGCTCCAGCCCTTTAAGAAAAAAAAAACCTGAAGAAACCCCAGGACTCACCACTGCTGCCAGTGGGGGCGGTCCCCCCGGCCCCCCTGCTGCAGCCACCAGGGACTGCCCAAATCATCAAAGCTCTCTGAATCTTTGCTGAAGATTCGGAGAGCTTTGAATTAATTCGGACGTTTAAATTGGTCCCCTGATTTGAATCTCATCTCAATCGAATCACCATCCAAAGCTTCACACAGCCCTAGTTCTCAGCTGTTTGGAGGACTTTAGTCAAAGGCCTAGTCATTGCCTACATCCAGTGATGGGGGGAAAGTGATAGTTTTGCTGGCACATGGACCTCTAAGTTAATGGGAGAGGCTGACTGAGTTCCCTGGGCTATGTGGTTGTTGAGCACCCATAGGTTATAGTCCTCAAAGGCATCAACATGTATGGAGACTGATCAATGGCTCCTTGTGATCTTCCTCCCAATGCTGAATTAGAATGGATGCCCTTTCCACCCAAGGGAACATCTACCTCAATGGTCAGCTGCTATAACAGGCTCTTGCTGATGTTGCCAATTAGATGTGATGGAGGCATCTCCCTCTCAACACTGGATGGACCTTTGTCAAACTATTTAACGAGCAGTCTCTCCTTCAGTAGGTCACCTTAGTATCTGTGACTAAGCATTTTGAGATGACAAAAACCCAGATAATAATGCCAGGAAGCAAGAGACGGGGAATCGGAAAAGCTCTACCTCCTTCACATCATTTAGAAAGATGCCATCTTTGACACAGCATTCACGAGAAACAAGAATGGAAGGAAACTTTGTGGTGTGCTTGGTGTAACCACTCATGTCTGAAGAAGTAACGGGAGATTGATCAAAATGGGTAACCTGGATTGTACCTAGAGCAAGACAAAGAAATGAACTGAATGCCCCTGAGCAGCTTGTAAAGCCCTCATATACATATATGATGATAAGTACCTAATTAAATGGGTGGGCTTGATCGGCTATTACATTCACAGAATATACTGTGTAAGGTGGGGTGGGCAAAATGCGGCCCGGGGGCCATTCTATCTGGCCTGCGGGGCCCCTAAAAAAATGTAGAAAATTAATATTAATCTGCCCTAGGATGCCTGTCACGCAGCCCTCGATGGCTTGCCAAAACTCAGTAAGAAGCCCTCTGTCCAAAATAATTGCCCGCCCCTGGTGTAAGACATTACCCTGGGCTTTGTCCTAGTGAAGGAGCCTGGAAAGCACGGAAGGCTTCTCAGTTTATTGGAAAACCTGGCATAGAAAAGCCTGGTGATGTCAGAGGGCGGTTGGCTGTGGGAAGCAGGAAAGGTGTAGATGGGAGAACAAATGATATAGTAGATATGTTAAAAGATAAACTGTTAGCCTCAGTGCATTGTGGGTAACCTGCCATTACAAAGGGAGGACAGTTATATATGCTTCAGTAGAAAGGCTTGAAGCAGGTATGGTAATGGAGGGAATAAATGAAAGGGATGATGTTTGCGGAGGAAAAGTATATGAAACAATAACCAGTTGGCACGGTTGGTTAAACACTGAGTGGGAAGCTGTGGTCTGTAAGTATGAAAGCTGTTTACTTTCTATATCCTCTGGCACCACAGATATTATGGTCATTATTTGACAGAGCCATAATATCAGCAACTACTGTAGTGGTGCTTCTGACCATGACAGAGCCTTGAAAATGGCTCGCTGCCACGCTCTCTGACTTTCTGTGAGTGTTTCTGGATACTGAGATGGGTGAAAGTGCAAGCAAAGAAGATGACGAACAGATCTGAACCTGCTTCACCTCTTGAGTTCATTTGGTTTTATGCCAGTGTAGACCTACTGAAACCAGGGCAGTTTCCCCTCCTGTACAATATAGCAAGTGAGAGGAGAATCAGATTCACTGATTCTCCTGTTTGAATGGCTGGAAGTTGTGCAGTCATTTGTGATGAACCAGGATCCTGGTTTTCCCTGATTAAAAAAAAAAAAAAAAAAAAAAATTCTCCGATAAAAGCCCCAAACTCTGTGATTAAAATGAAAGGTCCCTCACTCCCCTCCCATAGCTCCCACCCCCGCCCAGTCCTGCTGGTGCCCCTCAGCCCCAACAGCCCCCAGCCCTGATAGTGCTCCCTACTCTTTTCCCCCCCACCCCCAACTGGTGCCCCTTGCCCCTGTTCCCCCAGCCCTGCCAGAGGGGCCCCCAGTTGCGAGGGCTATAGGGCCAGGGACACAGGTCCACAGCCCCCTGTCACTGGCAAAAGGCGGTGGTTGCTGCAGCTGAGCAGAGCCCGGCTCCCCTCCTGATGCCTGCCTGCTGTGGGCTCAGGTGCAGGGCATGGACTGACTCCCCACCGTGCATGCTCCCAGAGGCAGGGGGGACCCATTCCTCCCAGAGATGCGTCCACAGCCCAGCGGGTGCAACCCGGCACTGCAGGGCACAGCGCGGCTGCGCAAGAAAACTACCTGCTGCTGCAATCTCCATGCTGTCCTGGTGATGCATCCCCTGCGCATGTGGCAGTGGCAGCAGTGGCACAGGGTTGTGCCCCTCACTGCTGCCGCACATGCAGGGGACATGTCACCAGGGCAGTGCATAGCTTGCAGCAGCAAGCAGCTTTCCTGTGCGGCTGCGCCGTGCCCTGTAGTGCCAGATCGCACCCACTGGGCTGTGGAGGCCTTGGGGCAGGACAGCAGGGTGGAAGCCTGAGTGCACAGCTTGCACCTGCCCCTTGCACAGATCTGGGGGCACAGGTCCCCCCTGCCCGCCTGGGAATGTGTGCAGTGGCGGGGAGCAGGCCTCGCCCTCCTGCCCCTCAAACAAGCCTCTCGCCTCCTCCCCTGGGGTCCTGTGGCTGTGCATTGTGGCCCTAGGCCCCAAGCCCTATGCACTCCCCTGCTGGGCAGCAGCCCCAGCCTCAGCCCTACCCGACTCCCTCCCTATGGGGGCCTTAATTCCCCACCCCCTCGCCCCCCACTTACCTGCAGGAGCTGCTCTCCAGGCTGCCTGGCAGCCATGTGTATGTACATGCATGTGGCACCCCTTGCCTGACCACCCTCCTGCTCCCCCCAGCCCCCTGCACTGGAACTCTTTGCAAAACTGCAAAGTCTGTGGGCTTTTCTGCTAAAATGGGAAATCTGCATTTTCCTCTGGTAAAGAGGAATAATCCGTATTTTTCTCCGTTTTTCCATGGGAAACAGAAAATCTGGATCCCTGGTGATGAAAACAGGATTCATGGCTCTTGTTGTGCGACAAGGATTTGAAAAGCTTTTCTTGGCATGGGATTGAAAGGAATCTACTGATGTCCATAATTAACCCATTGTTATTTGACCATTCAGAGAGATGCAAACACGACTCTATTTGGCACAGATGAATCCTCATGGCCTCAGATCAGCCTCTTTAATTCCAATACAGTATGGGCAAATACGTTAGACAATTTTTGTTCTGAATGAACAAATGCTGCCGTGTCCCTGGGCTGATTCCAGATTTGTCAGTGGAGCTAGATCTGGACGTTTGTTATGGCTCCTGGCAAACGCTGATCTTTTTTTCTTGCTGTTTCTTATCCCAGCTAATGACAATAATAGTCTTCTGCCATGTCTTAAGGTGCTTTTGAAATGCAAAGTCCAACGGTGTGTTTCAGGTATGTCAAAAAGGAACATTTTAGCCCTCTTTAAATTAACTGTTTCTTTAAACAGCATTTTGCTGTTTTTAAATGTTTTCAGTTTCCTCAGCCAAAACGCTTTGCCAGATTTGACTGAAATTGGCCAACAGTTTTATTCCCATAGAAACTACATTTTTTGGTGAATTCACTGTTTGTTAAAAATAATTCATCCAGCTCCAGTCCATATGGCCTTGTGCATTAGTTTAACTATAATGATTTTAAATCCCTCCCTTAATTAAACCACTGCAGCTTTCCCATGTATTCAGCATCTTCATTCCCCCTTATAGCTTTTCTTTTATGTTTTCTATGTAATTATAATGTGTCTTGGTTTGTGAAGAGGAAAAATCAAATTAAAAATACATAGAGATGCTATCAATAAAAATGTAGGGGCAGATCTTCAGCCAATGTGAATCATCCTATTTCTATTACCTGTGGGGTTGTTTTAGGAGGCAGATATAACCTGCAACCCATTATGCACCACCATCTGGTCTCAGCCCTAGCTTACTTGGAAGCAGGGGACAGAAACTTAAAGGAAGCTTTGACAAAAAATGTCTTGAAACCCTACATACAGCATGCAGAGCCAGAACATCAGCTGGTGTACATCAGCTCTGTTGATCTCTATGGACTGATTACAATGGATATCAGCTGAGCATCTGGCTGTTCCCGCCTTCCTATATGGAAAAGTGGAGGGAGATGGTGAGTGAGGTCATAAGGCCTACCACTGATCCCGGGGCATGTACTGCTGTCTGTTTGCTATCAGTGCCGCTTACATAGTCCCTCTTACCAGCGCTCCTCTCGGGCTTGAGGAATCTGTGCTCCGAATTCCCCAGAGGTAAGGCAGTACTTTGTTCCCATTGTACAGATGAGGGTAGAGGCACAGAGGAGGTAAGTGACTTGCAGAAGCATGAGGTAAAGCGGACTTGAACCAAAGGATCTTGAGTTGCAGGCTAAAATACTCTAGCCACTGGACATCCTGCCTGTCACCACAAAGTGTGGTGACTGAGAGTTACTCTATGCTGTTTAGAAAATAGCTCTTGTTTGTACTTTCCCAGAAACTTCATTTACCTGTGGGAAGAGAGAGCCTTTTGAGCCTAATTCCCCTTTTGCTTAAGCTGGTGTAAATCAGGAGTAGCTGCCCTTTTCATGAACAGAGCTACATTGGTGTAACAGTAAAATACAAATATCTGGTGCTCTGCCTAGCACAAGATTATGTGATGTGCGCTGTACACCCGCTCAAAGTAGAGTGATAAGGATCGTTTCCTGCATTAGAAAAGAATAAGGACAGAGGTGGTAAGGTCAGGGCAACTTTTCCTCATCTGGAATCAAAATATATTTAGAGAAATCTGCTAATGCTGAGTGTAACCTATGGTGGCTTGAGACATCTGGTTCTCCACTGACCTTACTTCTGGTACTGCCATTTGTACCAGTGCGGCATGTAAAAAAGGAAAGAAACAGCCTACATCTTTCTTTTTTGAGAAAAAAACAGCCACCTCTATTTGTATTCATTTTCTACTGCTGTTCCCACTCTGTGCAAGCATGGACGGTATCTCTTGAGATGGAAGGAGATGTGACAATTTACAGGTGAAGGTATCTAATATAACTGAGCCAAAACAAGATATTAGGTGGCACTCACACCTGCAGCTGGGTTATCCAGAGTTGTCCTTTAGGAAGCTCCGAATCTCATTCCGACCTTGGCATCTTTGAGCCAAACTAAACTATAGCAATGACAAAGAAGAACCAAAGCACCTGCTGCATTAAACATGTCAGTGTTACATCATAACAGCCTACACCCCTGCAACATAGTAACAGGAGAATTCAGCATTGGGGGTGTCCCGGAGCCTCTGGAAACTTGAGCCCCAGTTTTGCAGTAGGCTTCGCTGTAGCTCTGCATGGGTGCAGAAAAACGTAGTATTGAATCTGACTGCAGAATCAGGGCTTATGGTAGGAACCTCGCAGCAGAGGACTGTTTTGCTTCTCTTATCTTCAAGCATGTTTGGACCCAGATTTAGAGATACAAGGAAGGGAAAAAATAACCCAAAAAAGCAGCATGTAGTTTCTACTGAAATCTATTTTTTCTCCTTCTTTTTAATCTTGTATTGCATCTTACATGATGCAGGTGTGACATTGAGACTTAATCTTAAAGGGTGATATAAGTGTGTTTCCCAGCATGAATTCAACCATTTATCAATGGCATCTTAAAAGTACTGTGCAGGAAAGCAGCATGGAGATGAGAACCAGCTGGAATTGGCTATTATCAGAGACAAGATCCTAGACTAGATGGAGCAGTGGTTGGACCCAGTATGGCATTTCCTGTAACATAACAGAGGGGGTGTGTGTGCGTGCGTGCGTGCACGTGTGTGTACAGAGCTGGCCATAGGTGTGGGCAACGGGGGCAATAGGCTCTTCCTTTCCATTATGTGGAGCCTCTATTCAGGGACTGTCAGGGTAAAATTCCTTATTCCCCCATTAAGAGGGCAGCTACTTACCGCTTTCACCATCCAAGGCAAAGCACCATTCCAAATCCTGAATCTCCCCAATCATCCCCAGGTGTTTTTGTTCTCTTCTTCTGATTGCAAAGTCCTTTCAGCTTTGAGCCCCACCCTCCCAGTACACAGAATTTAACAGGGGTCACATGGCAATTGAGCTGCCTTTGTAAAGAGGGCTGACCTTTAAAAATGATGTTTATATGTAAAGAATATGTTTGTTGCAAAGCCCAGCAGAAGACGCAAGAGGGCAATGTTACCTTGAGAATCTTTTTCTGCTGTAGGCAGAGAAAATAAATGACCAACTTCCAGACATGAAATGAAGTTCTCCTGTCACAGTTAGATCCTGCTTTCCCTTGAAATCTCCCATTGTCTCCAGCTGAAGCAGAGTCCAGCCCCTAAGGGTCTTCTGACATAGGAAACCAGAAGCTATTGATAAGTATCTCTGAATGGGCAAGCAGTGTGTTTTTTCTGAAGGCTTTACCTGGGGGCTAGAGAGAGAGGCAGGAGGTGATGATATGGCAGAGGGCAGTGAAAGCCAATGGATACCTAAAACAGCAGGTGTTCCCACAAGCCAGGAAATGAAGAGGAGGGATCCAGGGACCAGAGAGGGGGCAAGTTTCCTTCTGCTTTTAGGTGTGCACTGTGCTGCATGCTGTGACTTTAATCCTCGAGGTTCGGGGCACTGCCTCCCTTCCCTTCAGGGAGGTGCCTGGCCACTGGGTGCAGAGGGCCTGCAGTTCCCCAGCACCCGCTCCAGCCTGCAGCAGCACTTCGGCAGTAAGGGGTTCTCCTGCCCAGCGGGTGCCCTTGTTGCAGCATACAGCTCTAAGGTCTGAAAGGAGGCAGTTGGTACCTCTTGCCTACACTGTGCCCATGCTGAACAAGGCCTCTTCACCTGGAAGCCTATCATCCAGCCAGGCCTCCGTAATAGGATGCGTCTTGGTGCTTTGCCCTATCTAGTGCTGAATGCCTCAAGTGACAAGGCTCCTTGCCTTTCCTTAGGAAATGCCTACAGCCTCCTAGACCTGACCATGAGGCAGCATTCCTGGTTTTTCTGTCTACCAATCCCTGTTTTAAACCTCTGCCCATTGCTTGGAGTGAGGTGCTCTTCAAAGACTCCCTGGCCCTCCTAGAGTCCTACAGTTTCTTAGCTCTGTAATGCATGAACAAGTCCGCCCGAGCTATATATGTTACATTTATTTGCAAAGTTATAGAGCAGGGGTAGGCAAAATGCAGCTCGTGGGCCGGATGCGGCCTGCCCAGCCATTCTATCCGGCCCACGGGACCCCTAAAAAATTTAGAAATTTAATATTAATCTGCCCTGGGCTGTCATGCGGCCCTTGACAGCTTGCCAAAACTCAGTAAGCAGCCCTCTGGCCAAAATAATTGCCCACCCCTGTTATAGAGTTTGAGGGTCCTGTCATAAGCAAAGACCCCATTGTGCTAGGAGCTCTACCAATACAGAACAAAGTCTCTGCCCATCCTGCTTACAATTTAAGTACTTCTCTTTGTGCACTAGTTTGGCATTAAAGGGTTGCAGACCAGTATTGCTGATGCCACACTGCCTAAGCCAATGAACTATCCATGCCAACTCTTCAAAGGATATACAGTATACTGTTTGCATTATCATGCAATGATCTATAGGTGGTGTGCACGTGTGTGACATGCGCATCGATATGCATTGAGAACTCTACTTTGACAGAGAAGCTTTTGCTTAATAGAAACTACCAAAAGGAGTGGGGAAAGGGTAAGAGGCATTTACCGCCACTAAGAAGTATTATGGTATCTATGTGTGAAATGAAAATAAGTGGGGTGTGGGGTAGCATAAGGAAAGCAGAGACTTGGGTGGTTGGTAACATGAAGATCGTGGTCCTGACTTTCCTCTAGGGCTTATTTATCTTGTGGTGAACACAACAAAATGTGAGGGCCTCTGACAGAGGAAGGAGCTCTGTGGAGAAACCTCAGCCCTCCACCACTTCATCTCAGCTGCCTCTATCATCCCATCAGCTCCTGCCAAGGTCAGTGCTGGCCTCAGAGACTGTGTGGCCTGGTGCCAAGGGGGAGCATGGTCTGGTGGGCTGAGGGGTGCACCTGCCCTGCCGCCTACCTCACCTGGCTGTGTGTAGCTCCAGGAATGTGAGGGGCAGAGGCCTTAGGGAGGGAATGGAGCAACTCCCCTTGTTCATTACATCCCAAACCACTTGCCTTCCTGGTGCTGATGAAAGGAGAGTCAGGCTTGTCTAAACAGCTGCTAAATCACCCTGTTCCCCACGTGGTGATTTATGCTCTGCAAGGGAGGCACTTATTAAATTCCAGCCTGCTGCCCCATTGCAGGAGGTGAAGAACCAGGCAGTGCCTCTCCAACGTATCCATTACCCGGCATGCCTGGCACAGGCCTGCCCCGGCCCTGGCAGCTTTGTTTTCTGCCCCCTGAATTCTTCCTTTGATCTGTGTGACCCAAAAGAGACTGTTCCCTAGCACCACTGGCAAACCCCAAGTGGCTTGGGGACAGGAGGGGAAATGCAGTCTGGGTAAGCACCCCAACGCCATGCATGCCCCTCAAAATCTCTGGGATGATTTACTGAATCCACCCAGAGGAGCCTTCCTCGGGTCTTTGGCTGTGCTCAGCACCCAGCCTGGCCAGAAACCAGGAGGGGAGAGCCTAGCATTTGAACATCAAAGGTGAGTCTGTTCCTGTTCAGGGAAGGGATCTACATTATCCCCTGTGCACTAGAGCTGGCTGAGCCTGGGCTGTTCTCCAAATGCTGTCAAGGCAATCCCACAGGAATTAAATCAGTGCTTTGGGATTTTCTAGACAGGACTAAGTCTCTGTGTGTGCATTTCCTTCTAAACCTGCATCATCACCCTGCCTCACTAACAATCTTGGCTCCAGCCATTGCTTGGTTGGTTACAGAAGATCCACAGCTCTAAGCACCTTAGGTTTCTGCAGACATGCAGGACGCCTGCTGCGATGCACTCCACTTCCTGTGCATCAGAGCAGATTCAATTAATTGAGTTGGGCTAATTTAGCATGCTCTAGCAGCCTCAGCGTCTCCATCTTCAAAATGGTGGTAGGGGTGTTTGAACTAAATCTCATTGCACAAGCTTTAGTTAAAGAGCCCCCACTGCCATTTTGAAGTGTGGGAGGCTGAATACATGAGACGCTGCGGGCACTGTAATTAGATCAGCTCCTGGGAGCTGCTCTCATTAAAGCACCCCCCCCCCCCCCCGTGAGCATGTATAAAGATACCCCTTTGCAACAGTTCAACTGCTGTCCACAATAGGGCACCAATTTAACTAAATAGATTTAACTGAAAAACATATTCTGTGTAAGGCAGACTATAGAACAGCCAAGGAGTTGCTCTATCTTGAGCCATTGATGTACAGTCTCTGAGGACTGTTGGTTTGCTCTGCCCCACCAGTGTGCCCATATGCTTGGGTTGCAGGTGGTGACTGGCACAGGAACCAGCTAAGGATCTGTCCTGGTTGGGATAATCTTTGGCTGTCCCAGTACAGCTGGAATCCAGCCCCTTTCAGCTGAGCAGTCCAAAGAGATGGGATTGCTTTAAGGAATCCAGCCCATTGATGTATGTAGGGGCAAAGGGCCTTCAGCCCCTTAGCTAAGTCTAGCCTGTGGATTGCAAGCAATAAAGAGCCCTGCTGTGAAAATACAGAGTGCCCTGTGGCAACTACAATCTGTGGCCTCCAAAGCCCCACTGTTTTCCCCCTTCTAGACACAGGACCATCCTATATGCTCCTCAGTGCAGCACGATCAGACCATCCATTCTGGAAGGTGTCACTTTGGGCTGCCAAGGGAGCTCTCCATGCCTGATGCCTGCACTGCTTGGGTTATCTGTGAGCAAGGCCAACGTTGACTCAACCCTGTCTCCTGTGTGCCTGCAGAGCTGGCAGGCACCACATAAAGGCAGCACTGTGACTCAGGAACCACTTGCTGGCTGCCCTTCTCTTTGGCTTCACTGTTCCTCCCCTGTGCCCTGGCACCAGGTGGTCTTTTGACCCCTGGCGGCAGCAGCATGATGAGTCAAGTCTGAAATTACAGGTTTGAAGAGAGGCCGCCAGGCGCCTGGCTGGATAAGTCATCTCTGTGCTCAGAGCCCACATGACACAATGCACTACAAATTACTGCAGACTAAATATATGTTCGGGACGTGTCGAAAGTTGGCAGTGCAGCCGGCTGCGATAGCCAGCTTTGAGGGGAGAGGGGAATGGCTAGATTCCTTTCCCCTCACGTTACACTAGCAAGAAGCCTGGGCTCCACTGGCAGACTAAGTGGGAAAGACTGAGCCCCCCAGCCACGCTGCATAGCAGCAGCACCAGTCTAATTGTTAGAGCCCAGGATGTGACCTGGGTAGGGCAGGAGAGGGACATTTTACCCCTCTCTGCTTGCTGCTTCTTCTGAAACATCTGGTGCTGGCTGCCAGAGGCAGGAAACTAGTCTTTATGGACCTGGGCTATGATCCAGACCATGCTCCTGTCTCCTATCTGATTTACATCACCCTCGTGTTGGCAGGAGTTTACTTCTCACCCATTACAAACCTCTTATAAAGGGGCAGTGTCAAGTTAAAAATCAGCGTCTTCATCCGCATCACTGTCCTTCCATTATTACAGAGGAAAGCGAAAGAGTGCTGTAAAACCAAATTGCTCGTTTACTTTATTGGCACTTCACTTGCTTTGCTCAGTGAAATGAGGCTGATCGCTTTTGCTTTCTCTTTAGGTGTATTTTTTCTTTCTGGCACTCACATAAAAGGCCCCAGACAGCACCAGTGCAAGCTGCTTTAAGAGGCGTCCCAGAAGGGACGCAAATTCTCATAGCAAGTGCTGCATTGTTAGTAATTGAAACTTTGTGCCACAAATTATGACACAATGTGACCAAGCCTAAAGAAGGCTGAGAAGTGCAACGCAACAGTGCTTTGAAATCCCAAGCTCTTGCCACTGGGCAGTGGGGCCAGGCCAGCTGCCATGTGATATAAAGCAAAATGAATCTGAAGCAGCAGTGAAATACTGCAGCATCCTGGGCACTCATGTCAAGCTAAGTGGGTTATGTCACAACTCACTCCCACTGCATGCAGTAGGATGAGACCTGAAATATGTGCCTCCATCTCCCCTCCTGAGCACCACAGTTGTCAGGTAGGGGCTGCAGCAGCTTGGCTCCTCTCATGAGCCACACGCTCTGCTTGTTTTTCTATCCGCCTAGACACAAAATGCTTGATGTCAAAGCTCCCCAGCAATAGGGGCCTGCAGCTGATTGGCTTTGTCCTTACCCTGCAGGCATGGGCAATGTGACTGGCAGCAGGCTTTATTTTAGCACTCCAGGGTTATATTTGCTCCTCAGATTTGGCTGTGAGCACCCTGCAATAGCATTTTGCAGCTGGCCTTTGATTACCAGGTGTTCATGTACTCTGCGAAGGGGGTGGATCAGAATACCGCTCCATCTGAATCATCAAGAGGCACTGAATCTACAGTGATGACAGCAATATGGATAGCGAGATGAGACAGGCAGCATGTCCTTTGCTCAGTGCGCAGGTGGCAGTCGCATGGAATAGCTGAGGCTGCAGCTGCACAGATGGCATTTAACCGTATGTTTAGCTCATTGCAGGGCAGCTGGTGTAAGACAGCATTGGTTTATTGGAGCTGGAAAAGCCACGCTGAGTTGCATCTGCCTTGTATCTGCCTCTGTATTTCACCTGGCCTGGCCCCCAAGGTGACCCTGGTCTCTTAGGCTGTAGCCAGTTGGCCAACAATTTGTGAGAGGAGGGATGCCATGCCCCAAGGTTATTTCTGGGTGTTCCTAAGGGCATTGTCACCTTCAGTTGCTGCTATTACTCCCCAAGCCCCAAGTTGCCTCAAGAGAAAGGGCCTGACAGGCCAGACCAGCTGCAAAGCACAGCTGAGAAACAGTCCAGAAAAAAATGGGTGCCAGTCAGCTTGTAATTGGGTAGTGATCAGTCTGTTACTGGGAGAGACAAATCATAGCAAACAGCTTGGTGTAGGGTCTGCTGAGCATGCAGGTGATGCACACCAGCACAACGAATACAATCCAAATCCTGTTTCGGCCATCAGCTGGCTGGTTGTCCGTCTAGCTATAGATCAGTCTGCTTGCCCACCAGGGCTTGCCGAGTAATCTGCTGTAAACAATATTTCTTGCAGATGTTGGCATTTGTCCATTGCATAATTATTTATAATGATTTCTCTCTCTCTCTTGCATACACATGCTTTGAATTCCCTTTCCTAAGGAAGAAGGCTGTTTCCAAGGGAAATTAGTACCATTTGAGAAATGAATGTGTTTCTAGTAGCATAAATGATCAACATAAATCCCCGGGGGCCACATTTGCAACCAGGAACTCTGACCTCACCTGCTAGTTTTCTGCATTATGCCCAGGTTTCCATGAACACACACTCCAATCACACATGCAAAGCAGATTTTTGTGAGTGTCATTGGTGCAAACATTTGTGTGCACAATCCTCCGAGCACAAAGGGAGGCAGCGACTGAGGCAGGCTGCAAGCATGTCCAAAGACCTCTCCGAGGTCTACAAGAGAAACCATGTCTGTTTACCGGTGTGCAAAGCCTGAACCATTTCTCAACTCGGGTCCTTCTCTGCACCCTCTGTTTGCTGCCCACCAGATTGCTCTGCTGTGCATCAGCAGGGGTTTCTTTGCACATGCTGACATTGTGGTTCATTTTATTACTAACCAGCAAGGTGCAGAGCAGACAGGATTTCCTGTCATCAAGACCTACAGCAAGAGCTGGTCAAAATATTTCCACCTCAAACTTTTTCAGTAAAAATATGGTTATTTGACAGCAAGGGCAATCTTCACTTGGGTTAAAAATTTCCAAGTTATTTCTCTGAAAAGTTGGAAACCAAAAGAGATTGGGTTTTTTTGGTTTTTTGTTTTTACCCACAAGCAGCTTTCAACCACCGGCATTTTCCTTTTGTTTTTGTTCTGTTTTCCGCAAAAAACAGGAAACACTCCCTGGGGAATTACAGAAAAAAGGAAATTATTTTCAAAATAAGCTGCCTTTTCCAATGGCCTCTTTATTCTGGCCACCAGGACACCTGCAATGGGCTGGGTGGGCAAACTGAGCTCCCAGAAGTAGTGAGGTAAATAAATAGGAGTGATTTCAATAGAGTCCATCTAGAATCTAGATTGACACCAACAAGAGCAGAGGTTGTCCAGTGGTTCTCATTCACTGGCTCAGATGAAGGACAGGAGAAAAGCTGGCAGAAGTGGAGAATAGTGGTTGTACCAGAACTGAAGAAGCAATTGCCAAGGAAACGGTAAAAGGCTAATTAGCCATTGGAGGCTGAGCTCAAACCCCTCTGGCAGGTCTGCCCATGCCCATGATGCTTTCTGCTGAACAGGAAGCTTGAGGTTACTGTAGTACCTTGCTGTTCATCTGCTTGCTCTTCCCTGTAGATTCCCTTTCTCAGTCCTGGGCCCTCCATCCTGGACCCGGCTCCATAATAAAACTCCACTCACTCCTCAGCTCTTCCTTGACCTCAGTTAGCACCATGATGTTGCAGCCCTCCCCACTGCCCTGAAGCTGGCCCATGGCAAGTCGTGCTTGACCCCCTCCACTGCCACCTGCATCCTGCTGCTGACTGGCCTGGGGGGTGGATATCTGCTTGGAGAGAGACCTGGAGAAGTGGGGAGTGTTGCTGACAGAGAGAAATGGGGTAGGTGTAGTGTGCAGGAATCAAATGATTTCCCTTTAAGCAATTAGGGAGGTCCACTATAGGGCTTGCAAACTATTAAAGGGATACTACATCATTCCTATATAGTATATGCTTATAGACAGCAAAGATGCAACTGTGGAACTGACTTTTCTAAGCTATCCAGCAGCTAGAGCATCTGTCCCTTCCACCTATGAAAACCCAGGGCAAGTCCTAAAGAGACCTACAGAATTGAAGGATGCTGTAGACCTTTTTTTTTTTTTTTTTTATTTATATATATGTTGTAAAAAACCTATGGCCACCCACGTCCACATAGGTAAATTTACTGCATTAGGCAGAGGATCCCTTATATGTGCTGTGTTGTTTTGAAGGGCTGTCTCAGGGACACGAAGCAGTGTTGCTGTGTCTGTGCAGTGCACAGGGGCAGGCTGTTGAATGTTATCACTCAGCAGGGACCATCTTGGAGCTAACTAGTAACAAATGCCCCCTTGGCTATTAACAGTTTAGCAGGACACACCATTGAGAAGTCCATTTGCATCCAACAGAAGGCAGCCCTTGGTGCCCAGGACACACAGTTGAGAGTTCTCTACATTTACACCCAGGCATTCAAATGTGCCTAAGGGTTAAAGCCATAGTTTCATTTTTTCCTCTTGGGTTTTGCTCCCTTATGTAGGTGCTGATGAGTTTGCTCCATTTTATTTCCTCTTGCTAATCAAAATTAAGTGAGCGCACAAAAGGCCAGAGGAGAGAGGGGTTACGGGATTAGGGATTTGGTCTTTGAACTACCACGTGGCAAGAGATGGAGGCATGTATTATTAAAATGATCTTGATGGGAACTGGCAGCTACACACATGGCCTTTGCATTCTATCCCCTCCAATGTGTTTGTGAGCACTCGTGGCTTCTTAGCATGAATGTACTCTTCTTCGAAATTATACGTATTGATGTATCCTCATCTGTTATTTGCCAAGATGCTCTTGTGGCCAAGAGGTGTTTATGCCTCAGTGCATAGAGCATGGGTTGGCAGCAAGAAGCTGGCCATGGTCTTGGGTACCATGTAACCATTGAGGAGGGATTACTGTGCTGCTACAATACGTGGTTTCTGGGTGTGGGTTCCACCGCCTTCTAGTGTATGGAATCAGAACTAACCACCTGTGACGTACAGCCTACGCTGCTACAGGCTGAGTGATTCTCCTCAAGTTCCAGGGTGCATGTGCTGTTTTTTTAATATCATGTGATAGCTTTTTGTTTGCCTGGGCACCGCCTGTAGCCATAATGCCTAAATCTCTCTCAATACTTAGATGCTGGACTATGTGGAGTCAATGATATAGGCTCAATGTCTAAAAATCAAACCTGTGGTACAATGATTTTAATTACCAGGGTTTCTCCAAAATATAAAGGCCTGGGATTGCTGCCAAGAGTACTGCATGCCATAGTTACACCATTGCTGTCAGCTAAACAAGCCACATACCTGTGGTTTGGGGGACAACGTCACAGGCCTGGTAATGCCACACCACCTGGACCCTCTGGCCATATGTTTGGGGTCCACCACACTAGATCCATGTTGTGTTAAGATTACATCAGTGTGAGTAGCAGCACCGTCTTTTCCCTGAGACTTAGTGAGAACTCCTGGACATGTGATCTCTTTTTCCTACCCGTTTACCGAGGTGGGGCTTTCCAGCACAGCTGCCCCAGGACCAGTGCTCACCCTCCCTGGTTTCCCACCGCCTGAAGTACTCCCTTTCGTAGATCTAGAGCTCTGTGAGCACTCAGGCTTCATGGCTCATCTCTCAGAGAAACATGATGATGGAAGCAAAAAGGGAGGTTTTACAGATGTCTCTAAACCAATCGTTCTTTACTTTAGCTAGCCCAAGAAATGCACAAATCTAAAGAGAAAAATATCACTGCCACCCACATTTCTCTGCCTCAGTTTCCTCATTTTTACATGTCCTCAGTCCAAAATCCCATTTTCTGCACATGGCTGCTTCTCCAGAACATGGATTATCTTTCTTTTTGTGCCCACTTTGCCAGTTTCCCTAAGATCAGCCTCATCAGTTGGCTGCAATCTGCCACATTCCCCCTTCCCATAGTTCAGACTGGAAATAACTGGTTTGCTCTTGGCCATCTCTTTGTCCAAGAATTCTCCATTTGAATGGATATTCTTCCAAATGTACTGATTCCCCTTTGCTAGCCCAGTGCAAGGTGAAAAAAGCAATCCCGTTATCCCCTATTGTCAACGTCCGCATCCCTTTGATGCAAGGATGACAGTCTCCTGGTAGATAGGGAAGCCATCACTGAGTCCAGAGATGACTGAGGAGGCCACTCCAAGATCTGCATCTTCTACAGGTTTTAGCAAATTGTGGAGACAAAAGACATCATAAAAGAAGCTTTGCTTTCTAAGTGTCCTTTGCAGTCTGACACAGATGCGCATAGTGGGAGACTTCGGTAGCTGTACCTTGCTCCCTCATTTCTTCGCACTGAGCAAAATGCACAGCTGCTTACTTGAGCCATCTTGGGCCTCTCCCACCTGGCCTAATAGGGTGCCTATAGACATGCTTGTTTGCGTTCCAGTTAGAATATGTTGGAGCAGACTTGATTAATCAAGTCTGCTCCGTGTTCTAATTGGAACGCTCCAGCGTCGTCTCACCTTCATGTGTAAATGGCTGCGGGGGCACTTTATCTGAGCCTTGTGGAAAGAACTTTACATAAAGCATCCCACGGCCAGTTTGAAATACGCAGAGACTTAATAAATGTGATGGTGAGCCATTTTAAGCAAGCGGCTGTCCAGGTTCTGCTCTAATTAAAACACCTCGCTCCCCGGACCCCCTAGTGCGGGTATAGGCAGCCCTAGTGACTTGACATTCAACAGATAATCTGGGTGGGCAATGTTGGTTTTTGGGCCAGCCACTAGAGGGCAAGACAGTAACAATAACTTGAGCAGGGTTTAATTCATCTGCGTGCAGGGAAATAATCACATGAGCAGCCCCCACTGTACCGACAATCCAAGCCTGCAATAGCAGCAGGGGCTGCAGGTCATGTTGGAGGTGCACTGGAAGAGCAGCATGTAGGGTGCCCACTGGCACCATCATAATCCTTTTCTCCCTATTGAGGCAGCCAGAATTTAACCCCAACCCCTTTGAAAATAGTGCTTATAAAGTGTATCCAACGCCAGAAAGAGAGCAGATTTGGACCAGAGAGGGGTAGGTTCTCAAACAGAGCCACTGACATTGCTAGGTGACCCAGTACTTCAGAGCCCTCTTCCTTGGAGAGGAGGTAAGAGCAGGGTCTTTCTATGCTCTGCCTCTTGCTGGGGGTGAGTATTTGTCCCCTGGGTTCTTTCTAGCCTGGAGCACTGTGCATACCCTCTCTGAAGCCCTTGTGTAATAGGAGCCCTGGAGTCTATCTGACATCCATCTCAGGAGCTCTGTGGATGATATCTTTATTTTTCCCTTCTCCTTCAAGCCAGCCTCAGCTCAGAAGCAGATGAGGAGTGTGGAGGAGGGGATGAAGATGGAGAAGGAATTTCACACCGCTACATTCACACAGCTGCTGGCACCAGCAAGTTTCTCCTGAAACCGCTCCAGACTCTGAAGTCATTTTTCCAGTTGTGCTCCAGCAAGAGCCCAAGGGCTCTTCCTGTAGCCCAGAAAACCAAACAGCCATCAGGAGCCTTGGGGGCTACCTGGTTTCTTGGAGGAAATGAACTGGTACTCCAAGGGGTCATAGTGACAACATAGTATGTCTTGATCTCTTGTATCTCTCAGGCATTTGCTGCCCCACACTTCCTGTGGCTAACAACCCATTCTGACATGTGAAAGTTTGACCAGACCCAACATCCATGCAGATCTTGGACTCAAAAGGCTGTCGACAAGGCTACCGCTTAGCACAGGTTGTGTTGGAAATCCTGTAGCGCAGACTCTTGCAGTCGAGCCCTTCTCCTATTTTCTGCTGAGCATCCACTAGTGAGCAGCAGCTTTCTGTTAATGAGCTCGGACTGGCTGACTTTCTCCTAGTGTGAATCCCCCGAGCCAGCCATTCTGTCAGAACCTTAACTGGAAGAATTAAAGCTGGGAAAGGAGTTGAATTTGTACGATCTCTGTTCAAATGTCCATCTATTCTGAGATTTGGATCGGGGGAGTGCCTTACTCCATTACAGAGATGGAAATGGGCAGCCCCAGAAAGTCCTGGCAGGCATAGAGCATTTGTTTGGTGCCGAGCCATGGGTTCTGGCTCATCTCAGATAGGAACAGGTAGAGCTGGTGTCATTGGGTTGCCTGCTTGACATTTAATTACCCCATGTGCTACATTCTGCAATTAAATCCCAAAGGGAAAAAAATGGAGATCCAGTCTTACTTCCATGTGGTGACTCAAAGGGTCCTTGGGCCCTTTTCTTTCTTCACTCCTCACTCCTAGAAATTTTCTATTTGCAGGATATGAAACCATTTCATGAAGGAAGGTGTTATTAACCCCAGTTCCTATTTCCAAATAGGTCAGCTGAAGCACATAAAGTCTAAACAATTGAACCAACTGGATCAGGCACAGTCAGTGGCAGAGCTGGAAACAGCTCCCAGCTTTCCTTTGGTTGCCTTGTCTCTATTCATTAAGTAATGATACCTTTCTTCTTCCCTGTTAAGAGACAACCATGTCCTTGTTCTGCCAATGCAAATATTTTGGCAGTGCTGCCAGAGAACTTGCATCAGTTTTTGCAGCAGCAGAACAGGAGAATATTGTAGGCCTCACCAAAACTGTGGCTATTAGAAAAGAGAAATAAATGTTCTGAATCTGAGGGGATTGCCTAGCAGTGAGGCTGAGATCCTGATGTATCAAGAATCCAGAGGACAAACTGTTACGGAGCTGCCTCTGTCCTGCCCTGAACACTTCCTTTCAAGTTTTTGCCTACGTCCCCTTCTGAAGCAGAGGCATGAGCCAAATCATGCTGTTACCTGCTGAGCTTCAGTAAGTTTGATTCGGAGCTTAAATTACCACTTGGCTTGCCTCCTCCAAGCCGTGATTCATTTGAATTGATCAGTCTTTTGGGCTGGGCCTGCATTTGGGCATCACACTTTCATTTTATATCCTGCTCTGAAGTTTGAGAGAGCCCCTAAAAAGCACAGGCTCTTGTGTCTCCTTTGGATCGAGATAAGTTCTCTCTGCAGCACCCCTTGCATTGAATGAGGCATCCTGCTGGGCTGTTCCCGAGCTGCTTGTAGTCGGCTACCTGGGTAACCTTGGGCTCAGCAGGTGCTGGAGTCAGTAGACGGTGTGCACAGGATCTCACCTGCAGTGGAGCCAGCTTGCTGTTGTTTGGGGTTGGACTAGTTGTGACCTCCTGAGGTCCCTTCCAACCCTATTTTTTATGATTCCATGTCAGTGAGGCAAAGGGTTTGTGTGACATCGTCCTGGAAAAACTTCACTCTGTACAAGTGTCCTCTCCAGGGTAGAAGGCTGGGGGTTTTAGGGTTACTGTGACATAAATCATTTAGGCTGGAATAGCAGCTGTGGATCAGCCTGTGTCCCCCATGCAGACACCTGGGGAAGATCCCTCACCCAGTTTGTTCCTGTGGAAATCACCATCACCCAGCTGGGTTATTCAGATTAGCTATTGTGGAGGTGAGGTATGAGGCTCAGATCCTGCACTCCATGGAGCTATTTTAGGTGTGAAATTGGCCTGTTATACTTTTTTCAGTTCATTGGCCCTGTTCCCCCACTAAGCTCCATGTGAATGGTCTCCTGCCACAGGAAGGATCCCACAAGTGCAGGGATCCAAAGCCCCATTGCTACATTCAGGACCTCATTTGAAATTTTAAAGCCTCCAGGGCCCAGGTGGGTAACGTACTGCCTCTGGGAGTGTCCTTAGCAGCAGGGACTGAACGAAGAACCCTTGACTGTAATGAGCATTTAGTGTCTGAACTGAAAAATCTTCCTGGGTTCCTTGAGCCAGTAGCAGACTCTTACAGACAGCCTCATGGTGTAGGTCTGGGCTGCAGGGTTCGACACCATCCCTTGGACAGTATAAGGTGGGGGTAGGGACTCCTAGCTTTGTTGTGAACCAGCTGCTTTGCTTAACCTCTCAGTGCCTCAGTTCCCCCACCTGTGAAATGAAATTATTGGGGCTTCCCCTGCTGCTGACTGGTGGCTCCACTTTACTCCGGCCATATGGAAGCAGTGTGTATTGTTGCTCACTGTACGAGAGCTTGATGTTTCCCAGAAATCGATTCTGTTTGTCCTGGTTGCTTTAAACGCAGAGTTGAGCCATGGCTGGCCTGCAGGCTGGAAGCTGAGAGGGGAGAAATAACAGGACCCCAAAGCTCTGCTCCTCTCTGCCTGGACCAGGACTGCTGAGGCAGCAGCACACGCAGCTCCAGCAGCCCAGTGCCAGGATGCAGAAATCTCTCCTTCCAGCTTTTCCATTTCACGTGCCAAGTATCCAGTCTTTCAGCCTGCTATAAATTGTCCATAATTCTGTAATTGTGTCGGTAGTGATTACACTCAGGCTCTCGTTGAACCACTTTCTGTGGTTTCCCAATCCACATTTTCTGCACATCCGCCTCCCCCCACCCCCTGCTCTTTTCCAATAGCCTGCTCCCCTCCTGCAGTTACCAGCTGAGTTTATGGCTCCTGCTCAGCAGCTCCCAGCAGAGGCAGACAGAAAGTGGGCTCTCTGTAGGTCTGTATCCCCACCATTCCCTTACTAGCCAGTAGAGGGGACAGTGCATCTCACTCCCACTTCTCACGCATGCAAACACATAAAGCACATGTGTGTCAAGAGTACACATCTAGGAACAACCCATGAGACTCAAGGCAATCACTTTGGAAAATCTTAGTCACGCTGCCCTGTTTGGACTGTGGCCGAAACTCCAATGGCAACCAATGGGACCGCAAAAGGAAGTTAGGGCAGATATGGAAATTGGAAATAGAACTGCTATCAGTGATCCTAAGCCAGGCCTCTCTCCTGTGGAAGCTATTTCTCTTCCCCCATGTTTATTTTGTTTTGTGTCAGGATGTTCATGGCAGACATGCATTTCTGATTCACAAGCAGCAAGTTAAAGTAACTCCGTTCTGTGAATGGAGCAATCTTCTAATGATTGATTATAAGGTAAATGACTGCTCAATATGTTCATTTCTTGGAGGGGCACTGGGCCTTCATATGGTATGTCTTGAAGGCTATAGATGTGGCTATTCTTCATTTGGATCTCTCCTCCCCACCCACATGAACAGGCATTTCAGGGCCTTTTACTACTTCACCTTCACCTCCTAACCTTGTCATACCTCCTTTTTTATTTTCATTGTAGTGCAAACTTCAGCTTTAGATTTAGGCAAGAAAACTGTCTCTTCTCAGTCCCCAGGACAGGCCACCTGACATAGCCTGTGCCTGAGCAGACATGACCTTGATGGATGATAAAACTGTCTTGAGTAATTGGCTGCTCTTCCAGGCTCGCCACAAAGATGGCAAAAGTCAAGAGGATGGACTGGTGACTGGAGTGGGGCATTTACTTCAAGAAGGTCTCTCTATGGGCCGTCAGTGTTGCATTGTCAAATGGAGATGCAGGAGGCAGGGCACACACTACTAATTTATGGATATCCTGGCATTATGCACTTGACACTGCAGTGAGCCTTGCTGTTGCCATATCAACATCATCCTAAGTGAATCAGAGGGCATGAAACAAGCAGGGGGTCATTGAAAATGGCTTCAGCTCAGCACACAAGGTTGCCTCTTGTATCTGAGCATGGCAATGTGGTGTGCAGGAGACTGGATTATCTGTGTTCTCCCATCACAAGGGACACCTGCTTTAAGTCTTGTCCAGTTACTGGGAAAGAGAGGGGGTGGTACAGAAATGGCATTGTACAAAGTGCAGCCATTGTAGTCTGTGATCCACATGGATTCATGTGACCGTACTGAAGATGTGTGTGTGTGTGTGTGGGTGGAGGAGTGCATGTTCACACATGTTTTGCTTTGACTTTGAGGTATAGTTAAACCTGAAAATACAAAGCAAAACTCAGTCAACACACTGCCACCACAATCTCCTTGTTTTTGTTTAATATGCCTCAAATCTGACACTCTCTTTCAAGACACTTGCTGCAACTCCTTCGGAGTGGAAATAATTCAATCTCCCCCCCCCAGACTCTGGGGAAGCTCTGTCCCAGTTGGTAACCCCCTTGCATTTCAATCAGGGGTTTCTTTCTGCTCTACACAAAGAAATGAGCTAGGTCTAGCATTCCCATAAGGGGGTTTATCTGTGTCCCATCTCTAGCTTGGACAGGAAACCTCCAATCTCCCCCTTTGCTGAAAAGGGCTGACACTTTAAGCAAGGCTTTTTTGCAGCCCTGATCTACCAAATCCCGGAGCCAGGCCAGCCTAGCCACGAGCACTTATACACCTTGAATCAGGATTGTCCCAGCTCTCATCCCCCATAGAGATCAGAACTTTTTCCCCTAAGAAAAGCATCCTAAGCCATCCTGATGGCAGTGCCCTGCCAAGGAAGGGGCAGGACTATCCTCTCCATTGCCCTGAAATTGGTGGGAGTGAGGTGCCCAAAACCCTTTGAGGGTCTGGAGCTGTATCTTGTTCACAATCATTCAGGTAGAACAGAAAGCTGAATGCAGGCCTTGCTCATAGCCTTCACCACCATGTCATTGGCGGGTTAAATTGCTCTTCTGCATTTTTGACTGCCTTGTCTTCAGAGGAGGCTTTGCCCCCCATCATCTCACACCCACTCTAATAAGTCTGCTAGGCCTCATTGTCCCATTGCACATGCCCCAGTTAGCTAGCTTTGTTAGGTGTGAGAGAGTGCAGGATGATGTTGTGTACACACCCCTGATGCTGCAGCAAAAGGTTTTATTGCCAGACATTTTGCTCAGCAGCTCCCAAGTGATGGAGCAATGAGTGAGTAATGCAGGCAGCTGAGCCCCTGGGATCTCACCATCCTGAATGATGCACATGGCACAGGCTGGGAAGAGAAGTACTTCTGATGGCTCCTTCTAGCTCTGAGAGCGACTCCCTCTTAGACTTCTAGCAAGTCTCTGTGCCTCGGTTGCGCCCCCCCTCTGCAAAATGTGGGGTCACGAGATCCTTAGCTCCTGGAGTGCTGTAGAGGTCAATGCCCCAGTACGAGTCCAATATAAAACACTGTGTTATTGCTATGGTCAAAGGAGGGAAGAGAGGAGCCCAAGCACTTGTGCTGTTTGCTTGCTTGGGGAGGTCATATAGGAGGCAGGAAGGGTCCTGTGGTACTAGAACTTGATAATCCTCTCCCTGAGGGGGAGCTACATGGCAAGCAGGACTTGAGGCTCTGCTCCTCAGCAAGGCAGGTATCAGATCTCTCAGCGCTGCCTGCCCTCCTTCCCTAGCAGATTCCCCTTCTGTGTGCAAACAACACAGTGTGCACACAGCAGGGAATGCAAGGCTGTGAGCAAACACAGCCTCTGTGATCTCCCAGCAATGAGGAAACCAGCTGGATTTTATTGCAGCCTGTAACAAATGGGTTCTGCCAGCCTGATTTCCCTGCCTGGACCCTTTCTGCTGACTCAGTGTGTCCTCCCTGTTGGACTTGCCATCAAAGTACACAGGATGAGTCAGCTCTCTGCTGCACATACATCAGCACCAAGGCTGCCCCTCTGCGCTTGCCAGCGAGATCACGAGCTCACAGCAGCCAGAAGAGCCGGGTCTCTGCCAAAGCCATGAGGTCTCCACCCTGTTGGTTCCATTCCCTCTCCCTCCCCTATGAATACAAAGGCTTTGTTTGACTTAAATTTTCTGGGGCTTCACTAGTGTATCTCTCTCCCCTGCCAATGGCTGGGTGGCACCATTCACCTACCGTTTGCCTTGGCAGCCTCCCGCCCTCCTCCCTCCCCCTACTGCTCCGTTCATTCAGACAGCTCAACAGGGAAGCGTGCTGGATGGAAAAGTTGACGTGCTCCCTCCAGCTGCGCAGCCACGGAAGAGCAATTGTGCAAGAGCACGGAGCTGGGAGGATCAGATGTAAAGCAAACACAGTGCTGGAGAGGTAGAGGCGGATGATTTATAGCCCTGTCAGATGAGTTTCCACCTTTAAATCAATCAGGAATATTGCTCTCCAAGAAAAGAGCACAAGGCTTGATTTGCCACTAGCTGCTAGATCTATGCACTTCTAGGCCGGGCCCTGCTTCTCCTCTCCCTCACTGACCCGCCATGATTGTCCAGCTTCTAGCTTCCCCCATCCCCTTCTCCCAGCCTGGTGGCAGAGACTTCAGTCTCATGGATCTGGGTGCTGCCCTTCTACGTGCTTCTCAATGAGCCCTGCCTCACCTTCTTCTACCTTGTTGCAGCATCTCCTGCCTTCTCTCCTGGCTACAGATGGCCTCATTTATCCTCTTCCTGGACTCCATAACAATCTTGATCAGGACCGTTCAGTGCAGTGCCATCAAGTCAAGCTGGTGGAATGAGTCAAGCAAGAAAGAGTCATTGCCCCCATTTTACAGGTGGGGAAACCGAGGCTTAGAGCAGTGAAATGATTTTCCCAGAGCCATGCAACAAATTGGTGGTAGAGGCAGGATTGTTACAGCTCAGGAGCCCTAATGACTTGCCCATATTTAATCCATTAGACCATGCTTTCTTCCTGGCCCCTTCCCTTCCCTTTTAACTCCTTACTCACTATAAGACGTGCTGATCAGCTTTGTTGCCTCCCACAGCTCCTGCGCCAGCTTGAGCCCCTGACCTGGCTCTAGTTCACCTCCCCAGCTCCCCTGCGTGACTGGTAGTGCCTGTCTCACTCTCCTTGCCTCGTGACATGGTGTTTAGTTTGTGAGATTCTCTATCTCCTTGCAGGACCCCTACAGGCTGTAAAACATGCTTGCAGGGAGGAGGCTACTGAGAGAGAGACGGCAAACACCACTGTACGAAGGCGGCGCCTTTCATGCTGCTCTGCCACACCACTAGATGAGCCAGTTGCATAGATGCACACCAGAGGCCAGGCCCAGGCAGAGGCTAGGATCGGAGACTGCCTCAAGGTGGGCACAGCCCCATATGGGCTGTGGGGCTTGTGGATCTGCCAGTATCCAGCACCTCTGTGACTGTGGCCCTTGACTTTGCGTTCACTGTGGGTTGGGCCTCATTCTGGACTCCTCAGGATAGACCCCATCTTAATCTGCCTCCAGAGGCTCGTGGCAGGTCAGGAACAAAGCACATTGCTAGAGCTGGCAGGGCACTGGGCTCAGACCTGTGTGGGGCTGCTGATTATGGCTGAAGTGGAGGAGCAGGTCTGTGAGTGGGGGAAAGGGACAGGACTGGGACTGCTGGAGATGCAGCAGGCTGCAGGGTCAGGGGGTGGGAGGAGCAGGCTGGAAATGGGGTGCAGGGCTGGAACGACAGGGGTGTTGCAGGCCAGCATGGAGGTGTTTTGGCAGGGCTGCATGTAGGGCGAGGCTGCGCAGTGCTTGCCTGCGCCATGTCTGGATCCAGGCAGCGTCTAGAATCCGGCACTTTCAGGAACAATAAATTCTCTCACTAATCTTACAAAACAGAAAAGAGCTATAAATGACTTACCTGTTTGAAGCTTATGGGCTCTGTATTGTATTAAACATTAACCTGCTCTTCCAAGCCAAACTACTGACTCTCCTGATAATTCTGAGGCTCAGGCAGCCAAAGAAAAGAAGTCTTTGTCAGACAATGTTTCATGAAAATCCCTTCAGCCATTTTCTGTTTCTTTGTGTTTGCTTGGCCCTGGGGTGCAAGCCTGGAGTGCTGCTTGCCCAGCCATTCTCCTGGAAATACAGGCCATCAAAGGCCCCACAAAGGAATGCACACATGTGGTCACACACTATCTCATGCACGTACTCGCACACAAATGCAGCTTCATGCATACATGTGCCCAATCATGCATGTGCCAAATCCACACTGTCACATACATCCAATCACATGTGCATATGCACACAGTATAGGCCTAATCACACACTTGCAAGGAATTGCAGGCCCACAAATTTGTGAGAGCACATGACCATTGTCTTTCTGCACCATATATCCCCATTAATGGTGTACTGTTTCAGACAGCCACAGCCACACACATAACCGGGGATACAGAGGTAAGTAAAATCTCCCATAGGGAATGGCAGTTTATTAGCATACAGGAGATGCGAGTTCTACCTGTGACTTGCTGTACGAGATGGGACAAGTGTCTGTGTCCATGTCTTCTCAAGGCTATTGATCTTAAAATCAGCAGAAGAAGTGCCCTGTGTTTGGTAGTATTACTAAGGTGGGCAACTGGAGCAGCAGCCCAGGGCAATTAATTGGTGAGGGGTGTACAATAGCAGCTGCTGGCCAGGCATTGCTGCTAGCATTGGCAACCTGGCCAGTGTTGGCAACCTGGCTGCTAGCATTGCCAACCTGGCCAGTGCCACCACCCTATGTGCTGCCACTGCTTGGGGCATTAGGCTTAGTGCCCCATGCTTCATTAGGATGTAACAGACTCCTTGAAGTTGTTTATTTGTGGAAAACCACAGAGAGAGAGAGAGAATAAAACCAGCCCCCACCAGAACAGCCTGGAGGAATGTGGAGACCTGCTTTGAAGTTCCTGCTCTGGTGTCCTCTCATATTCCAGGTGAGTGCCCTGACCGCTGGGCTACAGCATCGGGCTTTCTCGCTCTGGCCCAATGAATATACAAAGTGGGATACCTCCAGTAGGAGACCTTGAAGAGAACAGCCAAAAGCTAGACACACACCTAGGCTGTGAGAACCGCAAGTTCACATCCCGGGTCTGAATTGGACACCCACACCTCAAGTGAGTGCCTTTACCGCCTGGCTATTCTGGGATGTGCATGCTTTGCCTGAACCCAAGAGACATTTCCTGGCAAACATTTGTTGGATCTGGTATGTTTCCATTAAACATTTCTATTTTGACAAGCTGGCATCTTTTGCTCCAAATCACATTTGATCGGAAAATCCCCAAACAGCCATGGCCAGGATCAGTCCACAATGACACAAACACTTTTCCATGTGCAGGGCAAGCTCACAAAGCAAATGGGCTCCTTGATGTACATTAAACTGTGAGTACGAGAAAGGAAGTGAATCACAGGCCTTCTGGATTGTCTAAGGTTTTGTTAAATATAAGGAGAGAGAGGGCATTGGGTTCTCATTATGAAACATGCTTATATAGTCCCAGGAAGGAAGGTTTTTTAGGGCAATGTCCACAAAGCCTAACGTGACTGGTGGCCTTTCACAAACCACAATGTCAATATTTTACTATTTTGTGTAAACCCAAGGCTGGTGAAAGTTGCTGCCTTGACAGCCCCCAAGGCTGATGTGCATGCTCTAGATGAAGAGAGGACAAGTGTCTCCAGGCTCCTTTGGGATCGTGCCTTTGTGCTGCTGGGAGACATCAGCTCCAGGGCTGAGAGCACATTGCTCTACTGAGATGGGGTGGCTTCGTGGTGCAGGCACTTGGCCAGTGAGACTTGAACTGAGACCAAACACACACATTTTACACCAGCTTCACCAGGTGGTGATATCTCATGATTAGTGTTGAATTCAAATTGGGGGCATCCCAGAAGTATAAAAAAATCTCTTTAGCTCATAAGCAGTTGCTGGAGCCCTTCAGGCCTCACAAAACACAGCCTTTTCTAGATGAGATGGTCCCACTAATTTAAGCTAAATAGCTTTTAAACTCATTGAAACCTGTGCAGACTTCTGTGTGGATGTTCTTATTATTATTTAAACCTGGATCATTTTCATTTAGTGTCAACCACCTCCTAATCAGTTTAAGCTGAAATACAAGTCTAGTGCCCCATTTAAATGAGCTGCGTTTAGAGTCATTTTGTGCAAGTTTCTCAGGTAGACCCAGCTCTAGGCTCAGCTCCTGTCTCATTTAATCTTTCTGAGACCTCTTGAAGTACAGTGGAAATGTTTCCACTGACTCGAATCGAATTCTGCCTCTGGAGTCTCCTAGATTTCAGTATGTTCTTAGTCACTTCTCTTCTTAATTTGCTTTCTTGTTCCTCCTGCACAGACCATGACCTCAGCCCACTGTCTTTGCCTGATTACTAATTGCCCACCATGTGCTTGACCAAAGAAGCAAGCAGAAGCATACCTCTAGTCTTCTAAATAGATCAAGCCTGTTGCGATGCTTAAGCAGTATCTGACCCAAGTTCCCTCTCCTCACCAACAGAAAAAGGGTGTGTGTGGCTGTGGGAGAAGAATCTCTCTTTGCTTTGTCGAGTTGGCTGTCTGGTATTCGGCTTGCTGATGGGCCGTTTCTCTGCAGTGATGAATAGCTCCGTCACACACACACTAGCCCTATGTTGCAAGACCAAGCAAACCTTTTACTCAACCTGCAGCTCTGAATAAGCCTGTCCTTTCATGTGGATTTCAAAAGGAACGAAGTGTTTACACTGTTCACGCTGACAGGCCAGCAATGCACTTTGAACTAGAAACGGCTTGCCCCTAGAACCAGAAATGACCTGAGCCACACTGAGCCCAAAGTGGCGGGGTGAGCTGAGGCTTAAAGGGAGAAACTCATATGTTTTTCCTTCTTGCTGCACAGGTTAAATCTGCTGAATGCCACAGGGCTGGGAGCTGGCAGGGATATTCTGCAGAGTCTGTTTGTTTTCAGAGGGGAAAAGGTTAAAGCACTGGGGAGGCTGAGTTTTCCTCCTACCCCTGCCAGCGGCAGCACGGTTAGGACTGCCCAGAGCTGTACTTAGGAAAGGTGTGTTCTAATTAATGGGAGTGTGCTGAGCTGCCCCTCAGCTGGAGCTCAGTGCGGGTGTGCGGATACGGTGTGTAGGAGGAGTACACTTCCCTCTGCCAATCCCTGCCTGCTGGAACAAAAGGATTAAAGCAGCCACACATCACCCTAGAGATTATTCCCTGGGAAGAACTTGGAGAACCGTCCCGGCACTTAATTTTGTTCCTATGTAACATCTGTGAGAGCGGCAGCATGAGGAAATCATCGTATTCAGGTGAGCGCAGTGGGGCCTGGCTCTGTGGCTGCTGGGTGTCTCAGACCCACTGGCTCTGCTTGCCCTGTTCTCTCTCTTTCTCTCTCTCTTTCTCTGTGCAAAAAAATAAAAATAAAAGTGTAACACGTAGAAGTCCCTCTGCCTCTGAATCCCCCTGGGCCTATCTTGGACGAGAGCCCTAGTTTTGTTTTTTATAAATTAAAGTCTTTGATCAATGGAGAGAACTTAAAATCCAGGAAGGCAGGTTATGCCAGCCAGCTGGAAATCAGCTTCCCCAGCATGGAGTCTGTCTTACCTGCAAGACACCTGTGTGACAGCCAAGGTTGGGTTGAATGGCAAGGGGGCAGCTTTAAGTGCAGAAGACAGTAATAACAGCACTTCTTAACATGCTGGCTCCATTTGTGTGATAAGTTTGTGCTTCAGGAGAGACTGGGACTCTCTAAAACAAAACAATTGTGGAAATAGTGTGTTGGCTTGAATCGGAGCCCCTAGAGCCTTCCCCACTCCAGCCCCGGCAGTTTTTAAATAACCTCTGCTCCCCCAGCTTTCCTCCAAATCAATGCCTCGCTCCCCATGGGACAGCAGCTGAAAGTCTTGTCCCTGCAGCTGTGGGTGGTCCTGCCAAGGTTACCTTCTGCCTTCTGGAGGGTGAGGCATTAGCGCAGGAGCAGTCTGAAGCCAGAGCTCCGCTCCTCTCCTCTTCCTACCAGCTACAAGAACTGTGGAAGCCTTATGTGCTATGGCTAGATTTTTCTGAAGCAGTTGCTTTACCACTGCCAAGGATGAGTTGCATCTGGCATGGTGGGAGGGGGTGGCTGAACCTGGCACTGCCCTGAAGCTTCCTATCAGGTTCCACCAATGACGTTTTGGGAGAAGCTGTCAGTGCATGGGAGTGAGGATATGACTCCTATGAAATGTCAGGCATTTAACCCACTGACCCACTGTAGCTTGGGTCCTTGCCGGCACCAACCCAGCAGCACGTTTTCCAGGCATACAGCTATGCTCTGCAACTGATTGCTCCTAGCCAGCAGCCTGTGGCTTGAAACAACTTGTGCCAAGTTCTGTTCTCACTTACACCCTTGGTACCCCATTAACTTCAGGGGTGTATGGTGGGGGATGCTACTAATAGCCTGCAGGCAGCGGTATAGACAGTTGTCTTCAGGCCAATCTCTTCCTGGCATCCTGAGTCATCTAATTGAAACCCACGTGGACTACACTCTTCACTGGGTTGTCAGTGCTTTTTGGAATGGCCAAAATATTCTGATTCATTGAAGCCACGTAATGGCCAGTTCAAATCCTGATGACTTCATAAACCACAGAAGCAAGCTGGACTCAGTGCCCTCCCTCCAGAGCTCCCCAGTGGAAATTCTTTTTATTGCCTATTTAGTTTCAGTATCAATAGGGAATGTTTCTATCTGGAGTGTTATGTGTTTAGTCCCAACGCCAAAAAAGTCTCTTATTAATATCAATGAACAGGTCCAAGTTCAAGTATGACTTTGGAGTGGAGGTCCGTGTATGATGAATACACCAGTAGAGGTGTGCATGGTGATTTGAAGCCAGGTCCTTTCCCAGAAGTACTTAGTCAAGATACAATGGCTACCATACATACCAGGAGGGATATCTTTTATCGGAGAGAAAGCAGGGCAAGGGAAATGTGTTTTGTGGGGGGTGTTTTGTGGAACTCTGAAAGTCGGGAGGGATGCTTCAAAGAGTAGCTGCAGGACAAAAAAAAAAGGGGGCAGAGTTGAGGGTAGGAAGAGGGATTGTTAATTCCTTCCTATTTCTTAAAATGACAAACCAGGCCATCAGCTGGTCTAAAGTGAGCTGTCTCCATTGAAGCTATAGCTCATTTACCCTTGCTGAATTGAAGGTCAGGTGCAGTCGAACTGAAGTATGATGGTGCTGCCAATTATAGCTGCACAGGGCTTACAGATACCACATGGATGGGTCCTTGAGGAAAGCACAGATCAAGAGAAAACCATCTAATGGCTATTTGATGAAATCATGCCTTCTCCCTCAACTTCTGGACACCACAGACAGGCTAACCTGTACAGCATACATGAATCCTACCATTAAATATTTTAATTCCATCCCTCAAAGATCCTTGTCACTGACAAATGATCTGAAATTGTGGCTGTCTGCTTTTAAGACCTAATGTCCTGGGTTACCATGTTTGCTTTGTACTGATGTGTGCTAGAGTGAAGCCATGAGTGTGCTAGAGTAACGCAGAGTGCCTTGCATTAATGATATGCATCTCTGATGACGACATCCCATGAGCACAGCTGCAAATAACAATGTTCAAGCTCAACGTTAAGATGAAATGTCATTTGATTAACAATGTTCATCCAGAAGGCACTTGAATTGCATGTGGCCAGCTGCTTTGCGAAAAGATGCATCACTTCTGGACCAGAATGCGGCAACTGTTTCAAATGGGAAGGAAAGAAGGCTATTTTATTTAATGGAAACAAGAAGGAAAGCTAGGGAGGCAGGACATACCAGTAATTGCATGAATTGGAAGCTGGCCAGGACACTGGGGTTAACACCCCCATCCTGCAAGCTGCACTCTGATTTCTTAATTGGTTGGCTGTACATAAAGGGCTTGTCTACACCACATCAATCTCCAGAAGCATCTGAGACCAGGCGCTGGGGATGAATCTGGAGCAGCTTCACTGGCAAACTTCCCACTCTGGAGCGTGTCAGGGGACTCAGGTGGGTGGGATGCACTCAGTCACTGTGGTGCTAACCAGGGCATGCTGCTGCTGTAGTACAGACAAGCCCAAACAGCCCTCATTTGTATGTCTCATCCCAAGAGACCACATTTCCAATAGCATAGCTCCCCAGACTGCTGGGGCCAAGGCCTGGACTCTGCAGGAAGTGTCGCAGAGGGAATTATACAGTATCCCCTACAATTCCCATTGGGTTTCTTAGAGGTCTCCCATCCCAGGACTGGCCAGATCCAACCCTTACTGGCTCACAAGTCTGGCAGTCACCTTGAAAGGCTAAAATGGTTTTCCTGCTACTAAGAATCCTGACTACTCCACAAAGCAGTGATTTTGACACATTAGTACCAGAGCTCATTGACTGTGCAGGTGCTCAGAGTGGGGCTGTTGAGAGGATCAGAGAGATGAGTGGGCAACTGGCTGTAACATCTAAGCTGAAAAGACTGCATCTTTCTGCCAGCACCGCACTGTGGGGTTTGAGCTCCAGCCCTGGGAAGTCAGGTGCAAGCAGGAGAACCACTAATAAATACTCTAAAGCAGTGTGGTTTTCAATGTTTTTTAATTTACAGACCCCAAAACAACTCTGAATGGAGGTGCAAGCCCCTTTGGAAATTTTGGATGGGGGTGCAGAGGTCTTGGAATTTGAGGTGTGGGTACTTTTGGTTGATTATAATCATTTTTCACGTACCCCTTAGACATAGTCTGTGGACCCACAGGGGCTTGCAGACAACAGGTTGAAAACCACTGCTCTAAAGCAGCTTGCATTAAGAAGAAGCGAGCCCATTGCAAACACCATAGGGAGGGCCATCAGGCTCAGATTTAAACTCCTCAGGTTCCAGACTTGCCCCTCTTCCCCTCAATCCTTTACTGTGGATCTAATCCAAAGCCCATCAAGCTCAATGGAAAGATCCCCACGACTTGAATGGGTTTTGGCTCGAGTCCTATACCTGTTGGTAAGGCTCCAAGGCTATCCCCCGCCCTAAACAGGATTTACCTTTTCTGAAGTACTGCAGGCAAAATCATTATACATCTGCTGTGGCTTTTGAGTGCTTGCCATGTAGGTGTGGTTGGGACAGAGAGTTTGCCTTAGATGCTTTCCTTCTTACCAGTAAAGAGACGCTCAGCCCTTTGTGCTTTAGCTTCAGGCATCTGCAGCTCAGCCCTGCAATGCTCTATTCCTGGAATGGACTGGGGCCGGGGGCAGGGAAGTGAAGGAAAAAACCTTTACAAACATCAGAAGGAATCTTACAAGGGAAATCAAAAGCAAGTACCCACTCTGAAGCCAGTTCAAACTCTTTGTGCTTTAAGGTTTTATTTTTTCAGATGCTTGGGGAGAGCAGAGTTGTGAGGAGCTGTTTTAGTTGCCTTGGAATGCTATTTTTTAAATAGATGCTCCCTTTTCTGGTAACTTGCAGAATCATAGAAGGGGGCTGGAAGGGACCTCAGGAGGTCACCCATCCCAACCCTCTGCATCCCCATAAATGCAACCGACAAGCAAGGTGCATGAGACGAGATGCCAGAGTGGCCTTCAGGTTACCTCTAAGCATGGCAAGAATTGTTTCATCAGGGGCTGCATGTAATTTAAGTTTGTGTAAGACATTGAATACGGTCTGAAACGAGTGTCACCCCAGGGACTGTGTGTGATCCCTGGGCTGAGCTGGGAAACAGGAATGGGAGAATTTCCACTAATTCAGGGACTGTCTTTGGGGGTGGTATGTGACACTGTGGGTATCCTACTCTGACACTGGCCTATAGTTGCCGTACAGATAGGGACTGATATTCTGAAGATGCTGAGCAATCTTGGATCAAATCACTGGTAGCTACATGTGTTCAGTGCCTCTGTAAATCACTAAACTACTGTAGTTCCCATCTGCATTGCGCTAGTGGTGTTGTTGAATGCCAAGTGGAAGAACAGAGATTGGACACTAGGATAATTTGTTTTGCTCTGTACAGACTGAGGCTTTCATAACTGCAGTGCTGATAGTTATCTGCAGAAATGTATTTCTCCAGGGGCACAGGATAGCAGGCTTGTACTTGAAGAGCCAGGATTTTCAGAGCTGCCCAGAGCTGAATTTTGAGTCTTCAGGCCCTGCAGTCAGAGTCAGATTTTAAGATGAGTGTATCTGCTTTTTAGGCACCTAAATAAGAACTGCATCCTCAAGAGTCCTGGGTGGCTAATGGTAACTATTTACCACCGCACAGCAACACTACACAGCATCTGAGGCTGTATCCATCCTGTAGCTGAGAGCTATGATTGCAGCACAGGTAGGCAGGCTCCAG